ATATCCTGTTGAAGTGATTGATCTTGTATGATATAAGTAATCAATTTTCCAGAATACGGATAAGTGACACTAATATGTTTATTAGATAAGCTATTCGTACACAAAAATTGTATTTTCAGCCTGGAATCTTATTTTTCAATAAGACAGTATTTATCATGAATCTTGCGCAAGGTATTTGGTAAAAAACAGAACACAAAAAACATACCAAAATAAAATTACTCTGATAACACGGAGTCGATTGCACAACATCAATCATTATACAAAATATAGACATAGAACAGTGGATTTAGTTTTGCAGTTTTACGGCAAAGCTAAGTTCGTATGTTCGAATCTCTATTCGTACAAAATTAATTTTGTGTTTTTCGATAGTTTTAGTTTAGAATACTATAATGGAATATTTTTCCGCCTGTATCCTGACAGAATAAAGCTTATATCAAAGCTGGTATTGCTAAATACTATGAAACGATAAGATAGTGCGTTACCTCTTACATTGGATACAAACAGTAAATCATAGTTCCGTAAACCTCGCCGAAAGATTTATTAAAATAAGATCATTCTATCGAGGGGACCTCGCGAACTGTCACATCGCTTTTTCAGCCAAACCTAGTGGGTTATAGGTTATCAACTGTGCTGAATCCGAATATCATAGTGATAGTTGCCAAGGGACCTTCGGATAGCGGTTGTCTTGAAAACCAGTTTTTCAGAAACTCTAAAAGTAACCAAAGCCGTTCTTCATGAGACATGGTTGTAGCCCGCAACTTTCTGATCAAAATGAAACAACTCCCATCCGTACACAACCTTTCTTTGCAAAGTTATAGAATTTACAAGAAAAGCCTTAAATTAATTTGTTACTTCTGTAGCTATGAGCGGACGGACAATGAACGTTTTGGACTTTTCTTGTAAATTCTATAACTTTGCAAAGAAAGATCGTGTAGAGCTGGGAGATGTCTCATTTTAATCAGAAATTTGCGGGCTACAATCAGGTCTCATTAAGAGTGGCTTTGGTTACTTTTAGAGTTTCTGAAAAACTGGTTTTCAAGACAATCGCTCTCCGAAGGCTCCTGGGCAGCTATCACTATGATATTCGGATTCAGCATAGTTGACAATCTATAACCCGCTAGATTTGGCTGAAAACGCGATGTGACAGTTCGCGAGGTCCTCTTGTAAGAAGCCCGTAGTGTATCAACGTCGGAAGCCCCTGATTATTTTACGTTGAGGCCGTTAAATAAAACACCACGTACAAAAAGAGAACAGAATTCCTTATTTGAAAAATATGAGGTAGATCAAGCATAGTTAAATGGTATAGAGATGTTAGCCCGCCCCGCTGAATAAATTGGTCTAGGCGTAATTCTATCCCTTACACTCTAAAAAGTGATGTTCTTCAGTTTTTCGTTCTTGGAAAATGAAAAACAAATTTTGAGTTCTTGAGAGTTAAAGAACAGAATTTGAGTTCTCTATTTGGGACAAATGGAAAACAAAATTTCCATTGGTTTTTCGATCCTTTGAAAAACTGACGAACATCTTTTTTTCGGAGTGTACTACGGTGCGGTTTTACGCCATAGTTACGATGATATTTTATTTTTATGTTTGTTACGACAGTCGTAATTATGTTATAATTTCCTGCAAAAAGATGTCATTTTACGACGCAGTGTGTGCGTTGAATTTAATAAGACTCTGAAGTCGAATTTTCTTCTCATAACTATTTATGTACCATAGTTATTATTTTTTAACTTGTGAATGATCAGAGATTGTACCTTAGAAACGCAATGGCTCATAGAAGTTCAGACTTTCACGTGTCACAGTGAAGAATGCTTTCTGTTTCTTTTTTAATAAAATTAGAGCTTCTTATACATACAAAACGTCTACAAAATAAAAGGGCAATAATTTTGTCACCGAAATTAAACCGTAGCAACCGTACAAATAAAATTCCAGCGTAAATTCCGTATAAAAGCGCACGTAGTATAAAACAGAATTAGAGTAGTTACGTCGAAAGTATTAGAAAAAGAGTGACGTGGGTTGCCAGTTTTAACTGCAAAATACCATTTAGATGAGAGTAGACAGTTTTGTATAGACTCTGTTCCATTCAGAATACACTCAAACTGAAATCCAGTTATGTAATTTGAAAAAACCGCTATATCGGTACTTCCCTAACTTTATCTGTTTTAAGAGTAAAAAATGCATGCTGTGTTAATTAACAAAACTATCTGTTAGTGTGAGAACCTTTTGTTCATCTGAGCCTTTCCGTATGTGAACAGCGCTATTGGTCGTTCACGATCTGTAAGAAATTTTCGAAAAGGATACTCGGATACAGCTTAGAAAAAGGTCTAAAGATTTTGCACGGCATTGTGAAAAACAGACAAACACTGTTAAGTTTTCTCTTTATTCTTGTCTTATACTCGAGCTGTCCTAAAACTTATGTTTGTTTTTTGTATATCTTTGCTCCAAAACTCGTTGTTCATTATGCAAGCTAAACAAAAATCAGTTGAATCTAAGCTGTTTCTCCTATTACAAAACTTCTTTTAAATGAAAATGGTAGATCACTCCAGTTGGAACCAACTAACCTCCCATCTCCCTAGAATAGAAGATCAGTGATCTTCTAATGTGTCTCGTCAAATCATGATCTCTTGGGTGGTCTTCCTGGAGATATAATTTTTTTTCGTCTGTCAGGAGAATTTTTCCGCATATCGCTGGAAAAAAAATAAAGTTGCTGAAAAGTGCTTTTTCGTATCCAGCACACTGCATAACCCAGAAGATTTTCTATGTTTGGCGAGGGATACTGCCAAAAGTTTAGGAAAAATTTTAAAACAAAATGGCGTAAAACCATTATTTCCATGGGAAAATATTATTAGTTTGAAAATTTTTCCTAAACTTTTGGCAGTATCCCTCGCCAAACATACAAAATCTTCTGGGTTATCAAGTGTCCTGGATACGAAAAAGCACGTTTCAGCAACTCAAAACTAACTTTAGTTTTTTTGTTCCGGTGATATGAGAAAGTTTTAGCGTAACTTAATCGGCTGGTATGCGCTTTGGTTAGTTCATTTTGAGGTTGCACAAAACTATTTTATAAAAATTAGAGCTTCAGAAGACTACATTGCAAAGAAAAAGTGGAAATTATACTTTGATGGGCTAAGTTTTGATAACTTGATTGCACTTCCATTTCTGTGTTGTAATGTTATCTGGCTAAGTTTTCATGACTTCTGTTTTGAAGATTATCATACCACTTTTTTAAATCGTGATCAAAAACATACATCGTGTTTCTTATTACATGTCTTCTGAGGCACTCCAGTGTACAAATAAACAACTCCGTCATTTTTGACGTAAATACTACCTTGATATTGAAGTGACTAAATTTATCGAAGCATTTTGTCAAAAGACCCTTCAGTCTGTTTTCTCCTTATGCGTTCAGCTTTTACTTTTGTTTGATAAATTTTCAAAGTGTATGTTTATCGATATGCTTCTGATTGACTTCACAGATTTTAAAATATAAAAAAGCAAAAACGAAACGTTATATCATTAATTAAGTTGTTTACCGAATTAAATTTTTTTTTTAGTGTAGTAATAAACATTTTTCCGCACTAACAAAGGTAAATTCAAAAATTTTGTGTATTTTAAGAAAATATCATATGCTTAAACATATAAGCTATTACTATACTCTTGATGATTTATTTTTACACCCTCTTACATAAAAAAACCTAATATCTTGTAACTAGAAGAGTATCACCTTCCATTTTGAATTTCTGCAATGTCCAGTTGATTTATTTTCATTATTAATTTCTAACGATTTTTTCAATCTTTTACATTGAATATATATCGTTATATTCGATTATTTTTGTTCTTTGCTCATAATACTCCTCTCGTTTATGCTATAATCTCTCTACTTATACCCACGTAAGTACACACACACACACACACATACATACATACATACAGGTTAAAATTTTTGATGCATTATTTTTTATGCATAGACACAGAATAGAGAAAGAATAAGTCATTAAAGTAAACTAACAAGGTCGTTATTTATCGAAATTTTTATCGAGCCGTTTTGCGAAGCATTAACCTTTTTTACTTCGTTCTTCTGGCTTTTTTTTTTCGTTATATGGAATAGAAAAAGAAACAACAACTATATATCGATAAAAATGAATTGCACTGTTCTATCCCTATTCTGTAATCTCTAGGACAATCGACAAAAAAAAAAAAAGCAATAGTCTATCTCTTCGTAAGCTTGAACTTTATACATTAAAATTTTCTTTATTTTTCTTTCTCTCATTTTGTGTTATTTGCATTTGTTAGATGAGGTATTGTATTATCTATCGTATAGTATATGCTGTTGTTCATAAATGATTGTTTTTCTTTTACATCGTTTTTTTGATGTATTTTTTTCAGTTTTTGCAGGCGTTTTCTTTAACTAAAAAGCAGTGTATTTTATTTTCGTTCAGACATTTTGACTATAATAATCGATACTAGATAGTTTGGATAGTTGAAGATGTCTCTTGATGATTACAAAAATGAAAATAAAAACCTTGAGAGCATTTGTATCCATAATTTTTTTTATAATATTTTATCCATCGTTTCAACTCTTCCTCAATAAAAAAAGACACCAAGAGAAAACTTTTCTTACATAAACGGTTGACACTTGCATTAATTTCAAATTTATTTTTTTTCATTTTTTTTTTCAGATTTTATCTTAAAAAAATTTCTTTCTATCAATGCACTGTTGATTCTCTCCACTTTTTCAAGTTTTTATTAAGTTTTCTTTTAAGAAAAAAATCAAAAAAAAAAAAAACGTTTTTTTGAGTATGTGTTTTCCGAGACGAACATCAGACATTATAAATATTCTTTTGTCCATACACGTCATTTCTTTCTTTTCTCTGTTAATTGAACCAAAGGTTAAACAGGTTGAAACAAAAAACTGGTTACCGTTGTTCTTTTTCTCTGTCGTAGGAAAATCTATCTACAATACAAGAATAAAAGAGGAAAACACATAAAAAAGAGAAAAAGAAATGAATACATGTTCCACTCGTAATAATAATACGTGTGTTCGAAACGTCATTGAAAATAATTTTATTCTTACTCAAAAACAACCATCAAAAGCACCAAAATTTAAGTTATTTAATAATAAAGCTAGATTATTACCAGTGTGTGTTGAACCAATTCGAACAACAAAAACAGCAATATTTAAACGTAATAAATTAAAAAAGAAAAATCTTCCATTTGTTAATTTAGCCAATGTTAATAATAATAAAACAGTGATTAAAAAAACAAAAATGATTGATCCAAATACGACAAGAAATTTTGTTTATAATCATTTTGATTCATTATCTGCCGATGTTAATGATTATATTGAAACAAAAAAAGAACCTCTCGATTATTATTATGATGATATTGATGATACATTTGATAATTCAACAATAATAACATCGAATAACGATAATTTATTTCGTAGTAACAGTATTGATAACGAAAGTGATAGTGGAACGTGCATAGAAGAAATTAACACGAAAGAATTAGCACAACGAATTACAAATGAATTGAAACGTTACACGATACCTCAAGGTGATTTTTTTTATATAATGTGATTTCAATACATTTCATTTAATTTTATCTTCTTTTTTTTTTGAGCTGTTTTTGCTCAGCGTGTTTTATGTCGGAGTCAAGGCACATTATCAGATTTATTGCGAAATCCAAAACCATGGTCAAAATTAAAATCTGGAAGAGAGACATTTCGAAGAATGGAAAAGTGGCTTCAAGAACCAGAAGAAGAAAGGATGGCGTCATTGAGAATAGCTGGTAAAAAGAAATTTTATCTAGTGCAAAAATATCGAAGCAAGATGTTTCAAGTTGTTAAGAATTCTCACCTTTCTTTCAGAATGTATCTAAGAGTTTAAATGATCAATTATAAAAAAACTATACTCTTTCAAATAGTTAAAATGTTTCCTTTTGTGTTTCTTTCTTGCTAAAAACTAATAAATAATTCTTTTTAGCTTCGTCGTATTTGGCATGTAAACGAACGCCAGACGATGAATTTTTAATTTCATCGTCAAATACCATAAAGTTAAAAGAACAAATCAGTCCCTTACCATCACCACCTTCGTCAACAACATCATCTGTGTCACTATCACCACCTCAACAATTGAACAAAAAACCTCGTTCACGTCTAATTTTTACCGATATTCAAAAACGTACGTTACAAGCAATATTTAAAGAAACAAAACGTCCATCAAAAGAAATGCAACAGACTATCGCTCAGCAATTAAATCTTGATGTTAGTACAGTATCAAATTTTTTTATGAATGCCAGACGAAGATCAATGGACAAATGGAGAGAATATCAAGCAGCGAAGTCAACAACAGCATTTGAATTTTAGTTAACACTTGATTCACTTTAACAGGAATTGTTCTATTTTTCTTTTTATGTATGTGAATTGAATAATACGTCAGATTTTTTTTTCATTCAAATGTGTACATGTTGTTTCTTTCGGCTCGAATGCAAAACCAGGAATGAGAAGTACACACGTGCTTTAGCCATGATAATTTTTTTGTCTTATACAGAGAATGATTTTTTTTTTTTGTTGTTGTTGTTTTTACACTTTCGATGTTATACTGTTTTAAAATGATTTTCTTTGTTTTTCGATGTTTATCCGTCTTATTCTAAGAATGCTTTGTTTTTGTTTAGTATGTACAGATAAGAAAAAAAGAGTGCATGAAATAGTGAATGTGTTTATTTTCACCAAGCTTTTGTGAGTTAAATAAAATGGATGAAACAAATAGTAACCATCGTTCAAATAACTATAAACTCAAAAGTTGTTATTTTGAGCAAACCATGATGAAACATCGCATCGACCTGCCTCAATGGTATGTTCAAAGAAAGAAAAAGCACTCAGCATTCGTCAGAGCTTTGTCAGTACCAAGTGCTTCTTACATTTGCTCAAAAATGATTCTTTTGTAAATCATAGCAGACTGTATTTACGAAATAGTCAATAAATATTATTTTATTGATCTAACTTCAGTTTCTAAACTCCTAGGCAAAGTCGAATTCTCTGCCAATAAGATAATGCACATTACTCTATGTATTTATTCAAAAACAACTAACAAAAATCGGCAACATATAAGATACATTTTAAATTAATTCTATACATAAAAATACATTTTAAACAACGTATTATAAATAAGACATAAAGGGGTAGCCGAGTTCATCGAACTCTATATTGATAAAATTTTCAAGATTAGGAGAAAGAATTCAAGATTAGGAGAAAGAATTCAAGAATTAACATCGAGTATTCAGAAATAAAAATCAACCTTTTTCTTAATTGAAGAATTCAAAAAATCATGAATAACCATCACGGATTTTTCTTAATTCAAAGAACTGAAATCAGAAATTTAATTTATCTTTTTCCAATTCGAGAAAGATTCAAGAATTCAGAAATAACCATCAAGGATTTTTCTTAATTCAAAGAATGTAAGAGTTCAGAAATTAACCCAGACTTTTGAGTTTTTTCAATTGAAAGAATACAAAAATTCAAAATGTGACTTTTCGCAATTTCCTGAACTCGAAAAAGCCAAGAGTTCTTTGACAAAATTTATAGAGTAAGTTGGAGTAATTCTGGACAGCCTCTCGAATTTTCACACTACTTTGAGCGTACCTGAAGCATTTTTACTCGGGAAAAAACGACACTTCGCAGGTAGATAGACCGAACATTTCTCTATCTAGTAGTGTAAAAATCTTGTTAAAGTTCAATAAGATTAATTAGTACTCATCAATTTCAGAGAGCTCCTATCAATTGTCCATAATTACCCCAAATGGGGTAATTATGGACAGTTAGTGTGTCTCGCTGGGGTAATTATGGACAGTCCAGCAGAAATGGCTGGAAGGAAGTAAAACAACTTTTTGTCAACGGCAAAGTTTTATCTTTCTGATTAAAAATTATATCATCTTGTAGAGAATTTTGAGCTCTATCTACGTTGTAAATTGTTAGTCCTTTGGACACATCCTTGATTAATTAATTAGAAATTGCGAAATTAAACGAACATAGCCGTTTTTTCTATTTTTCTCGCTTGGGGTAATTATGGACACTCAGCTATTTTCCATGGGGTAATTATGGACACTCCGTGCAAATCGCACGGGATAGACAGAAAACAACTTCTGCTGTCTTTCAGAAACAGATTTTGATACCAGGCTAAACGGTACAATTGTTCAGAACCATGAGCTCTATCATATGTGTAAAAACCGGATAAAAAAGTGTATTTTCATCGTTTCCTGTAGAGAATATGAATACTGCTGTTTTTGAACGGTCTTTCGTTCACTAAAATTATAAGAAACATTTAATTAGAACCTTAATTAACAATCAGATCACGAACAAGTTCAACTTTTCATAAACCTCGTACAATTCTCTTCATGTTACAT